CTGATGTCATCCCTCCCATTGACAGCAAAGTCGCCTGACTCAGACACGGATGACAAACAGGAAGTCTTCTGGGCTCATGGATTGTGTGTTTAGCTGATAACAAAAAGCGAGCCAACTACCTACTACCTACCTACTAGTTCACAGGTCGTCAGAGTCAAGTCATAGCAAAGGTATCAGCTCTCAGCATCGCAGCAGCAATGTTGATATTGCCCCGGAGGGGCATTTGAGCCGAACAAAGAGGCGACAATTCAGACAGAGGAATGCAGCAGTGAAATGGATTAGAAACCCTCCTATTGAAGGCAGGAATTGACAAGGAGAGGATGACAGAGTGAAACAAATCAAAGAAACCTTACAGAAACAATGGCCCGCTGAGCAAGACAAACTTAAACGCCACTCAGACCGTTCATTCAACTACCTTGAGCGTATATATATCCACTCACCCGGGTGTACGTATTCCTCCTAGTGTGTGACATGATTTCTGGTTGCTGAGCCCCCCACTCAAAACTGCCAGTCTTGACTGAAAGAGCGTGTTATTGGGGAGAGCGTCAGCCAGACAGAAGGGGGTCGAGGAGAGGGGAGTGGGGTTCAGTGATGCTGCCGGAGCGTCTCCCTCTTCCTCTCTGTCTCCTCGCAGAATCACACCATCCCTCTCCTATTGCTCACAGTACAGCCCGAGCTCCCAAAACTCCACCGTCCCGCCTCTCTGCTGCCCACAAGCCAAAGTCTGCGGGAGCTTTTTTCACCCTATCAGGAAGTCTCTGCTGGGGAGGATGCTGCCAATCCAGCCCTCTGATTAAAGGTGTTAAAGGCGAACAGCAGCGATACGAAGAGGGGGGGAAAGAAATAAAGCCAAGCTGGGTCTGCTGTGAGCGCATCAGCTGAGGGGCAGCACTGCACTGTGCTGTGTCTAAGCTGGCTTCTGCAGGAGGGAGGGTGGTTTAGGCCCAGACAGTGCTGCTGGGTCCTAAAGCCTGCAGACATGCTTCTCAAAATAGACAGCTATTATTCCCGTGCATGCCCTCATTATTTAGGATGATGCAGAGGTTCAGGCTTGTTTTTTTACTTCTTATCATGAGTGCACTGATCAAAGGCTACTTTCAGCCTCGGCAACACAGACTTTTAAGGTAAAAATTAATAATATTGACTCAAGTTATGATTAATCAGTCAGGGAATGGAAAAAACACATACGGGGTCGTAAATACATCAAAAGAAAAGGCTGAAATTACACTAAACCTAATTTCTCGCTGCACTGCAGCCTATAATGGATTTTCAGTTTTTTTGTGTGTGTGTGTGTTTTTTTTTATTACAAAGCATTCCACTTTCTTTCATCTGCTAGAGTGAGAACTGGGAGGGGGGGGAAAGTCAAGAAAAAAACAGGTGCTAAGCATTTTTCATCCAGTGGGAGGTGAACCAGTTCAAGTTAATCAACTGCTGTTTCATTGTGGTTGAACACAAAAGGTCCAGGTGATGCTCCACAACACAGCACATTGTAAGCAAAAAGCAGCAGAGGTTGCATTAGGGTCCAGCCTAAAACTGTGGCCCATCACAGAGCAAGGATTAGTTCTTTTATCTGCTAACTGCATGGCCGGAGCTTTTCAACTCCCAGTCCTCTCTGTTTCTCTGCTGTCATCTCTTTGCAATGGAAGCAAGCGCTGCAGGGTTTCTGTGTAAAAGCTTTCAGCTTAGAGGCTGATGACAAACGCTGGAACCCAAGCCTTCAAGAGAGGAGAATATTTTTCCTTTCAAAATAATGCAGGACATATAAAGCTTCAGCAACAAAGCATGGGCCAGGATAACAACAAAAAACAGCCATATATGCAATCCACAGACTAATATTTCAGCTGGGGGATAGCTGGGGATGTTTAGGGACAAAACAAACCTCTGCAGTGTCTTTGCACCCTTTTATGCAAATGATGGAGGCAGAACCAAAAAACGGGGGTGTTGGGCATTTGTGGGAAGAAATAGAGAAGGGGAGCCTCTTATCTCTCTAAAGACTAGCAGACAATCTAATTCAAAGCTCGTCCTCCTTATAGAAGATGATGGAAGAGAAACTGAGAAAGAGGCGGTGCTGCTGCTTTGAGCCCACTTAGACCAGCAAACGGGAAGGACGCAGGAACAGAGGTGACACTCTGGGATTTTAAGCAGGAAAATTACAGCCACACTGCACCTCAGTCTGTCTGTCCGGGAGGAACAAATTGATATCACTCAACAAAGTAAAAACGAGCATAACTATTGCTCCAAGGCAGCTTTTATTTAGCACAAGCTTGGCTTATATGACACAAATTTTGCCAATATGGACACAGCAGCTGACGGTCGACTGAAAAAGAAACTGCAGCATCATCCAGGTAGAGTTTTGGAGGTGACCATTTTTAAAAGGAGGCACTACGTTAAAGAAAAGAAACTAACTGAAATAAATTGAATAAATAATTTGTTCATTTGTTTGTTCAAGAAATATTGAGGTTACTGTGATTATTTTTAGCTTGGTTTATTAATCTTTATGTGAATAACAAACATAATTAATGGACTTACTTGAGTCACTGAATTATACATTTAAATTGTAATCAGTGTAGTTGAGCAGTGTCACTCAAGTTTATTTGAAGTGAGATTAAAACAGCAGATGTGACCATGCAAACCTTTTTTCAAACCCTGTTTTTAAATGTGTCTAATTGCTGGAGAATACTGGGGGAATTACAGCCTGTAATGCTTGCATGTCAGTGATATTCAGGATGGTCTCATCACTGAGCAATGCATCCAAGAAAAGTAGGTCATCAGCTGAATAGTTGTGTAAAGCCAGCACTTCATCCCTGTATGCATTCAATTAGGATTTGCGTGCATAAAACACAAAGCACCCTTAGTATAAACTGGTATAAAGTATTTATAGTGTGCATGTCTATAGTCTGTACCATATCTTTACATATGTAATCTGGTGCCATCTAGTGTGTATAAAATCTACTGAAGGCTGAAATTCTGCTGCAATAATCGGGACATACAATGATATCTTATTTATACATGTATTACTGGGAAAGAATTAAGATACTACTACACATTAAAATAATAACTATATACATTTCTGCGTATTGCTTCTGCTGGTAATCACAATAAATCACAGCATGGGTGTGGCTGAAGCCCTACGGGACATTTTCTCCAGACAGATTAACCAAACTGGATGACAAATTAAGAAAAACGATCCGGATTAGAAGATTATTTAATTTAACCGAGAATAATCATCCCTTTAGGATTGGATAACGACACAGCCGCCTTAATCGAAAGCAAGGCTCATTACACTTGCCATGTTCTTCATTATTAGTCGTTTTAATGTGAGAACATTTAATTTTAACAGCTGTAACTAATAATAAACCTTAATTTTAACGCTCACATTTGGTGCTGTCAGCTGTCAGGCAGACACTCCCTGATCAGCTGCTAGCAGCAACGTTCGTTAGCTTCGTTTGGCAATTTCAATAAATGAATAAAAAAAATAATATCCAAGAGATAATATTAAGAAACCACACAAGCTTATAGTTCAAGACAGGTGTATGTGTGTATTCTGAGTTAAAACCCCGACGGTCAGATAATAAATATGCACTAAAACCTACCTGCTTACGTCAAAATATCCGGCTAACTGCCCCGCTTCGTCCCTGACAGGCTACATCCATCCATGGAGGTCTGGCCGGACACATCCGCTTCGAGGTGGCCGAGCTGCTGCCTGACTCAGCCCGCCTGACACAAACTCAGGGGCCCGATATAAACTCAAGTATTTAAACGAGCTCAGCAGCACAAAGATGACACGGTTTAAACACATACAGACTGAGGCTATATCAATAAAAATGAAATAACTTTTTTATTTAAATTTTGCCTTTTTCTGTCATTTTTGTGCTATTTATCGTGGCATTATTTTGTACTTATTTCCTGATTACAGGCAAGTACAAAAGTACCTTATATCACAATTTAAGTATAAATTTTAAATGAAACAAAAATACTCTTCACAGCTATAATTATTTTTTTTAAGGAATAAAACAACAACCTGACACAGGTGAGCATCATTGAGGTGGTAGTCATTTACAGCGAGGCATTTAGCATGTAAAAAATAAACTCAAACCAAAGCAGTGACCCAAAATATCTGTTTGGGTTCTTCACCCTGCCACAACCTCCCCCTGGCTCACAGTAGACACTGTTGGGCTGAACAGCTGTCAGCTTCCTTTTTGGGCCTCCAGCAGTACAATCTATAGTCTCAACACTCTGCTCAGAGGACCATAGAAATAAAGATGACTTCAGGTAGTTTTCCATGAATAGAGGTATTAAGTGATTTGTACATATATGAGTGTATTTCTGGATAAAACAGAAGTAGTGCATGCATTGTAACATTACACACCACTGTGCAAAAGTCCTAAGCTACCCCTCACTTATCTATATTTTACTCCAAGCAGCCAGACTATCTTAACATTTTTAAGAGGGCCTTGAGAAATACTTCTTCAAGGTTTCTAAAGCTCTTTTAAAGTTTTCTGTCAGCATTGACTGCTTTTTCATGTATTTTCAGTCCAGTCTTTGTACCTGACCAGTGGAAAAGTGGCTGTCAAGGATAAGGCATGGCAAATGATACAAGAACTGGAGTGAAAATCAGTGGTAACAGGTCGATGGAGGTGATGGAGAGATTATTCCAAATTTGAAAATGTTTCAATACATATATGGAGGAGGTAAGGAGAGACATGCAACAGTGAGAGTGTAGAGCCATCTGTTAAAAACAGTGGAGGATCTCTCATTGTTTGGAGCTGGCTAACATCTGGTGATGTTAAAGATCTTGTCAAAATTAATAGAATTATGAACACAGAAAAGTACAGTGAGAGAAATTTATAACCAAACTATTATGAATATTTTAATGACACCAGAGATTGTTGTGGCCAAGTTACTAAAAGGGCCTCTAGTGATCTCCTGTATTGGATCAATGCATCACAAACTGAGCAAAAACAACAAATTTGAAATAACACTGCAAAAGTGATCGCAGCTTTTGTGTTCAGATGTATACATTTATTGTTAAAGTCATGTAGAAGTTAAATAAAATGACAAATCAACACAAAACCCTTAACAAAAGCTGAGTTTTTCTACTTTAACATTTTGTGGAACCAACTATTTCACACACAAATAAAACAGTAACGATCTTGTGTGTGTTTGAAACAGGAGAAAACACAACTGGACCAGCTCTACAAGTGTTGAGTAAACACACCCCCATCTCAACCCCCCATGCCCGACCTGTCCAGAGTGTTTCTGCCTCAATCAAATACATACTGGGAAAACACAGAGTGGAGGAACTAGATAAATGTGTTGTACTGCTGCCCTGAAATGGTTTTCAGTGTTTATATCTGATTCAGTCCATTCCTCAGTCCTGCTGTAAATCAAGTCTGTACTCAAGCAGGGTGAAGTTTAGGATTTTGGCAAGAAACTCTGGAACGACAAACTCTCTTATCTTTTTGTAGCCCATGTGCTCGTACAGCTTCTGAGCATCTGTCTGCACCACAGAAGTCTGCAGTATTACAGCTCCGTAACCCCTGTCGCGAGTAAATTCAGCCACTGTACGACACAGAGCCTTTGCGATGCCCATCCCGCGGTGACTGCGGCGGACCAACAAGCGTTTCAGCTTCAAGCAACCAGGAGCATCCTCAGCAGGAAGACAAGCCACCGAACCCACTACCCGGCCATCGCTATCAGCCACCCAAAAGCATGAGTCTTTCCCTTTCAGGTAGGTCTCACTGATGTTGTTGAGGTCCTTTCTGAACGTGGCTTCGATGTATTTGTTGAACATGTAGACGACCATCTGCCGGGCTCCAGCCAGGCAGAAGGTGACGGCCAAGACGGGAAGCAGGAAGGACTTAGAGCTGGTCAGGAGAGCGCAGAACATGCACATGAGGACCATCTGGGTCAGCGGCTGCTTCAGAACGTGCATAAAGGATGAAGGCACGTGCTCACTCATCCCCAAGGTGAAGAGCTCCTTCACAACATCAGCATCTTCATCATGAAACTTCCGGATCTGAATGTTGTCCATGGCTCGTTCAGCTTTTCAATCACAGACGTAAAGACATGAGAGATGTCAAAATACAAGCAGGGATCAAACAAATCTGCAATACACAATCACTTTTTTCACTCTGACAAAAGCTTTCTTTATCTCAGACGAAAACAATCATTTTCTGTAGTAATTAGTGGTAGTAAAGACATCTAATCATCAACAGTTGAATGCAATTCAATTTCCAGAAAAATATATTTTGTCTTTGCAGAAATTATAACCTAAAAATACAGACACCAATATATTTCAGTGAGATAATACACTCAACATCTGCTTTATTAGGTACACCTTTCTGGTATCGGGTTAGACACCGATTTGCCTTGTTCCTGAATTAATTCTTCTTCTTTGGTCCATGTTGACACGACAGCATCACACAGCTGTTGCAGATTTATCGGTCGCACACCCGTGATGCAAATGCTCTGTTCCGTGACCTCCTTTTTAAGACACAGCTGATCACGTTGTTTCACTAACTCTTCTGCACAAGGCATATTGTACAGGGTAAAACAGCCGTGGCACTTGAAACAACAAATGCAATCTCCACATTTTGACTTTATTCTCGAAATAAATGTTAATAATAATGAAATCCTCCATCGTATGGCTTGATTTATTGTAATGTGAGTACAATAACAGAGTCATTAAGACACTTGCAGAACAGGTTTCTTCTATGTTTCATATGCAATCCCTTTATAAATCCTGTTGACTGTAGTCTATTTACAAATATAAGCGAAAATGTCGACCATCACAAAGATTAAGAAAACCCTGCTGGCTTAAATGACTCGTAAAGTATGCATCAGAATAAACAGTGTAAACATAAATAAACAAACACGGTGTGGCTGGAGTTGGAAGCTATTTTAAAAATTTGAATTTTGGAAGCTATTTTAAAAAATTAAACAGTTTCATCTCTGATCGAAATGTCCGTTAAACACACCTGAAGGCACATCACATGAGTTAGCCCAAAACCGAAATAAGCTTTAGTAATGCTAGCTGTCCGCTATTTGACCAGATATTAGACGGAACACACGTTCACATAATAAACTCGTCGTGTCCTTTCAGAAAAGGTGAATAAACAATCCAGATTAGCCAACAGAAGCTAGCATCAGTGCTAACCTCACAAAGGCGCTGAGGATTTGACTGCAGTTTGCTCTGATATTTTATGACTCAAAAAACCCACAAAATAAATGCGACTTACCTGTTTTATGCCTGTCCTTGAAAGTGGAGTCTAAATTCAGTTTCCCCAACTCAAAAACCCTTCATTTCGCTTGGCTCCTAAACCACTTCCTCATGCCTACCGTGCTGCATTCAGGGAGTTAAAAAATTAAGATGTCCTCACACATCAACTATGTATAGCCCTAATATGCAATATGCTCAATCACTGTTTATATCCTCAGATACACATATACTTATGTAATCAGCATTTTTTTGTACATTTCATCATTTCATAGTCTGTATATAGAAACCATTTTTAAAAATTTTTGTTGCAAAGTAATTTATTCTTTAAAGTGTCACACATATTACGACAATCACTTTTTATTTCATTTCTGAAAATATTTGAATGCTTTAACTCAACAAAGACAGTAAAGAGAGATGGGAAATGAGGGTATTTAGAGGATGGATAGGGGAGCAGACAGCCCAGCTAAACAGGAACCACCACTGAAGGTATTTGCTCCCATGTCTTATGTGTCCTAATCACTCCATTGTCAGGTCACCCTGAGGATAATGAAGAGAGCTCATAAAAAAGTAAGAAAACATGTTCTGATAAGCTTTTTTGTTATATGTCTTTGTCCAGTGGAGCATAATAACTAGATTATATTGTGCTACATTAATTGCTGTATTAAAATAGTTGCTATATCAGTCACAGTTCAGTCTTGGTGTAATTATCATTCAGTTAAATCCCTAAACGAGAAAGGGCAGCGAAAAGAAATCTGCACGTTTGAAATACAGCCGCAGCAACACAACCTGGAAAAGGTCAAAGAGGTCAAACATTTTCATTTTCCTGCCACAAAAGGGAAACAAAACTGTTGGTTTACAGTGTAGCACCGAAAAGGTTAAAAAATAAAATAGTTCACAATACATGAAGACTGAAAAAATAATTTATTGTCTCCTTAAAATACATCTAGATTTCATACATGACGATGTAAAGGTATTCCCTTTTTATGGAGTAAACACTTCCACTATATTGATTGTACAAAGGTAGAAAAGTATTGTTTTAACTTTTAACATTGGGATTTCACTTTAAATTTACTTTGCAGTCCAGCTCTGTGAGCTGTGAGCAGAAACAGAAGCAGCTCGAATCTATTTTTATTTCCAGCTTGTGTCTCTGTGTCCTCTAGCCCAGGTTGATCTCTCCTGCGAACATGGTGATCAGAAGTATGATGGTAAACCCGGTTAGCAGCCCTGCATTTTGGATCAGGAAGAAAACGATCTTCGTAGAAGTTTTTTTTTGTTCCCGTGCTATGCTGTCCATCTCTGGGAACTGAAATGAGGAATAGCAATTAGTAAGGTTGAGGTTTAGATTTGAGAAGCAACAATATAAAAAGAAGAAGTGTAAATATTCAGGTTTGTATGGCTACAGTTATATTGTTCTCATGTGGTTCATATGAAACGAGGGAAATTTTCTCATTGTTAACAAATTCCATGAAAAGCAAAACTAAATAAATTTTCCTTCTTAAATACATTCCTTTACATGAAAGTTTGAGTTGATTAACAAAACAGGAACAAAAACAAAGTTCTTCACACAACACATTGTGTTTATAATACCGAATACTGCAGTAAATATTGTTATGTCACTGGCCTTAATTAACCAAACTTAAAAGGTAGACAGCTTACAGAAATACAGGAAAATATAAGGTAATTTGGTGTCATGCACATTTCTGAACCTTTTACTTACATATGTATTTTGACTTGATTTTAAACCTACACTTGAATATTACCAGGATACTGCTATATATAATTGCTGGCCACTTTATTAGGTATTAGGTGTTAGTACCAGTTCAGCCTCTTTCTCCTTCAGAAAAACTGGCATAGATTCAACAAGTTGCTGGAAACATTCCTCATAAATTATGGTGCATATTGACATAACAGTATCACACAGTTGTAGCTGTACAGCTGTACATCAATAATGTGAATCTCCCATTCCACCACATCCTAAAAGTGTTCTGTTAGATTGAGCTCTGACTGTGGAGCACATTTGAGTACCGAGAACTCACTGTTTTCATCAAGAAACTATTTTCAGAAGATCTGAGCTTTGGGACATGATGCATTAACCTGCTGAAAGAAGCCATCATAAGAATGGACACACTGTGGTCATAAAGGGGTGGACATGGTTGGCAATAGTAGTCTGCCATGTTTAAACAATGCTCACTTGGTACTAAGGAGTCAAGAAATGATCTCCCTCACCTTCCCATGTTTTCAAGTTGTATATGTGCACAAACTCACTGTTTTCAAGTTGTTAATAGTTGTTTCAAGTTGTTGACATGCTCTTCCAACCAGATTTTCCTTTCTATTGTCCAATATCGGTGAGCCCACACAAACTGCAGGCTCAGTTTCCTGTTCTTTCATTTTGCCTTTTGTTTCTAAAGACTATCAAAGATGCTCTTCTGCATACCTTGGTTTTGAATTACTGCCACTTTACTATCAACTTGAAGAACGCTTAGCATTCTCCTCTGATTTCTGATATCAACAAGGTATTTTATTTTAAATGTTAGAGATGGTTGTGGAGGAAAATCCCAGTAAATCAGCACCTTCTGCAAAACTCATACCATCGAAAGTAATTTAAATCACTATTCAGATGCTGGGTTTAAACTTCAGCAGTCCTTTCTTGATCCTAAACGAATCAAGTTGCTTCGACATGATGTTAACGTGCAGCTGAACAGCTGTACCTAACATAGTGGTCACAGAGTGTAACTGACATATATTATCATATTATATAAGCTGGCATGCTGAATTTTTTATCAAACCATTCACAGCTGACAGTCTCTCCAGTATCTGCTAAAGATAGGTCCAATATGTTCTCTACTTTTAATTCACATGAAATGTTTGTCTTAATGCTCCATTTTGGTCACAGCGTGTTTGAATAGGAGGAGTGTACACAGAGTTTACAGATATCGGAGGCTTCACACAGATAGCACACAACTTTTTCTAGGAATAACACTGATAAACGCAACATGAGCGATTTTGAGCTGCAAAGTTGTGCATTGTAAAACAAAGACAATGGGGCTGAATGATCATAAAAAGCTACATGCAGACAACCATCAAACCCATCAGTAATTTAATAGAGTGGAAGCCTTGAACATGTTGGGGAAGTCCAGTGACTGACTAAATAAATGTTGGTTCTGCTTTTTTTTCTATCTGCTATCAAGAGAACTCAACTCACCATGTCCGCCAGAGCGATGTACAGAAACATTCCTCCTGCAATGGCAAAGATCGCATTGGGGGCAAAGTTGCTGCCGAGCAGGATGCCAAACACAAGGCCGATGTAACACGACACGGCTGACAACAGGTTGAAGAAAATGGCTTGCGGGATGCTCATTCCAGCATTCAGCAGGATGACGAAGTCACCTTGAGAGGACAAAATAGCTCTTTTACACAAGCAGATTGAACATTATACTTAAAACAACATTGTTTATTTCTGTCTTGTCTGTTAGTCACATTTCCCCCTTTAAAGCGAGCTACAGTATATTTCATGAAAAGATTTATTTTCATTTTTATACCCAGAAAGCAAGTTTGAACTCTAACTGTAAATATATACATGTTCCTTCCACTCATGTCTTTTCTGAAGTTTTTTAGTTGCAAGTCATATTTTCCATTATTTCTAAGAACATGTATTCCTGGGGCACTTCTGCAGCTTGTCTCTACATGCTCATAGATACAGGATGTACAGGCACATTCAATGCAAAGTTTGGCTGCACAGCAGAGTTTGGAATGACTCGTGAGGGGGCTGAAACTAATTTTCCGCTACTTATCACTCACCCAGCTCATGGGGAAACTCCTCACACACGATGGCAGTGGATGTACTGAACCCTGTCAAGACAGACACTGTGAAGGAAGCACCAATAGCCAGACCATCTATGAAGTTATGGAGTGCGTCACTTAGAGTTATCATCCACGCCACAGTCTTGATGCTGCGGATGCGCTGGCCCCGCAACCAGCGGCACATGACATCAGGCACCTCGATGTCCTGGAAGAGTGGCAGGACAAGTTACACATACACGGCTACGGCTAATGCCTGATTGTGTTTTGATAGTGAGTGTGAAAGACAACATGTAGCAACATCACATACTTTCACGGTGAGAGGAAAGTACATCCTCTTTCAATTCTAAGGTTTTATATTATCATGACATAATAAAAATGATCTTGTTCTAACAGGATCAGGTAAATAGAACCTCAAATGAACAAGAACACAACAACACCGTGTCAAATGCAGAAGCAGTGTGCAGTCCTAACTTGAAATAATGTGTTTTCTATTTGACGTAATCAATCAGTGTGATCGTGCAGGAATTTTGACCCACACTTGGGGTGATCATGGCTCAAGAGTTGGGAGTTCGCCTTGTAATTGGAAGGTTGCCGGTTCGAGCCCCGGCTTGGACAGTCTCGGTCGTTGTGTCCTTGGGCAAGACACTTCACCTACCGCCTACTGGTGTTGGCCAGAAGGGCCGATGGCGCGATATGGCAGCCTCACTTCTGTCAGTCTGCCCCAGGGCAGCTGTGGCTACAACTGTAGCTGCCTCCACCAGTGTGTGGATGACTGGGTGTGTAAAGTGCTTTGGGGTCCCTAGAGGGGACTAGTAAAAGCCCTATACAAATACAGACCATTTACCATTCACACTAATTTACCAGGTTGCTTCATTTCATTGAGGTGTGCAGGCAAATTTTTGTTCAAATCTCCCTTAAAGACCGACCATGTCAGTGAGATTGAGGTCTGGACTTTGGCTGGGTCATTGAAACACTTTCTTTATCAGCCATTGTGTTGTAAATCTGCTGCTGTCCCTGTTCTAGTGCAAGCCCGATTTCAGCCAAGCTTTAGCTCTTGGACAGATGGTCTCACATTCGACTCTTCTTTCTAGAAGTTCTTGTGGTTTGTTCAGATGTAACTTTGCAAACCTAAGCCATGCTGCCATGTGGTTTTAGAAAGAAGATATCTATTTCTCTTAGCAACCTTTCTTTAGTGTTTTTATAACATTAAACATGCTAACTGAAACCTGTAGGGTCTGAGATGCAGCTTTTTTTTTTTTTTTTAAATTTTTGCAGTTTCTCTAAGCATTGCACGGTCTGATCTTTGGATCAGTTTGCTGATACGCTCACTCTTGGGAACACTGGCAGCAGTC